ATTGCATGCATATAAAATATATTTATTTTTTTATAAAAAAAGGGGGTAAAATAAAAAATAAAATATAAAAAAAATAAATGAGCAAATTTACTTACAATAGAGAGAAATTTTGTATATATGAGATACTTTATTTAGAGTGAAATTGGATTATAAAGAAATAGTTTTTATTTATATTATTTTTTTTATTATTTTTATAATTCCTATTTATAATTTTATTATTATTTTTATTATTAATATTGTTGTTTTTTATATAATAATAAAGTTTTAAAGTTTATTTTGAAGAGATATAATAATCATAATATTATAGGTTCTTGTTGTTTTTGTTTTTTCAACTTTTTATTTATTTATTTGTTTTTGTTTTTTTGTTTTTGTTGGATTTTTTTTTAAATTTAAAATTTGTACAATCGTAATGATAATAATTATTATATTATTTCCAAATTTAATCGTTAAATTCAATATTATTTTTATTATTGTTTTTTTTTCATTCTATTAATATCCATTTATTATATATACACTCTCACAATAAAACAAACAAACAAAAAAACAAAAAAACAAACAAACAAACAAAGAACAGTTATTCTCCCACCCAAACACACACAAATATATTTTTATACATTCACACATTTACACACACATACATAACAATTCCCACTACACTACACACTCACATATAAATTTTTTATTTTTATTTTTATTTTTAGAGTGAGAGTGATATCACTCTGATATAATTATTATTTTTATTATTTTGCGTTGTTCTTTTCTTCAAGCGCCGATTTTATTTATATTGATTATAATTTTTAAAGTACATACAAAAACAACATTATAATATATTTCAAACTTTAAAAAATAATCATAATGTTTGACTTTTGTTTTTATTAGTTTGTGGTATTTATAATTAAATAAAATAAACAATCACACATTAACCCACATTCTGATAATCATCACACATTCATGTAAACACACAACACAATCTAATAATAGATTATATTCTTATAAAAAATTAAACATAAAACTGCACACTAATAAAAGTTAAAAGAAAAGGAGTTATTAAAAGACAACAAATAAAAATTAAAAGAGTTTTTTTTTTAAATTATTTTTTTAGATTTTATTTTCGATTGCTGATTTTTTTTTTTCTTTTTTTTTTTTTTTGTTAAAGTATTTTGTTGTGTTATATTTTACACATTTGCGCTGCATTGTTATATCTAAACCATAATATATGTTATGTTTATATATTAATGGAAAAAAACAAATGGTTTTTTTTCTATTTTTTTTTTTTTCTGATTTTTTTCTACTTCTTACATGACTATACTACAATTATTTATTACTATTTACTATTATTATATTAAAAAATGTTGAACGCTAATTATGATTTATATATTAAGGAAATGGAACTATTATTTACAAAATTATTATATATTATTATTATTATTATTTGATATTCATCTGGTTGTAACAGGTTTTGGTGTATTTAAGATTACACCATGATAATTCCCTTTTGGTGAGTTATTATTATTATTTTGAATTGTTTCAGGTTCATCTGGTTGTTCCTTTTGTTTGATTTCAGCAGCCCAGAGTAAACTTGCCATGTCATCTTGAGCAAATCTACCATTGGGGGTACCATTAGTATTACCATTATTATTAGTAGGAGTAGTATTATTATTATTGTTATTATTATTGGTGTTGTTATTATTATTGGTGTTATTGTTATTAAAGTTTGCTTGTTGTTGTTGTTGCATTAATGACATTTGTTGTTGACCTAATGACATAACTGGAGCATTGTTTGGAAGACGACCTCTTCTTGGAGCAATAGTTGGTGAGGCTTCTGGTGATGAGGAAGAATTTTCGCTGGCACTATTTAAAAGGTGATTACTATAGCTATTATGTCTAATTTGTGGGTTCTTTCTAGTTTTAACAACAATGTTGAATGGTTGGGAAACAGAAATAATAATAGGATTATTGTATGAGGCATTATTTGGACGTACAACAGCAATAAAAGTGAGATTCCATTCTTTACCCCAAGTACCCTTGGTCATTTTTAAACCTTGGAAAACTGCTAAACCTTGAGCATTGAAAGCTTCAGTAAAGTTTTCGACACTATCAATTTGTAATTTACCTTTGTGATCAGTGACAATACCAATTGTAATAACACTTGCAGTAGTTAAGTTTTGACCGGCCATTGCAGAGGCAGCTTTAAGATCAACTTTGACTTTGAATGGAGTATCTAAACGACGATTCTTCCATACAACTTTTGATGATGGTTGTTGAACTACTTGAATACAGGATGGACGGGTTGCACTTGGATTCTTTTGAATGTATTCAATCATTTTCTCTCTGATGGTCATAAGTTGTTTTGGTGATGGAGCAATATTGTTATTTGTACCTGCCATTGTTGGTGATTTACCGATTGCTTGTTGTTGTTGTTGTTGTTGTTGTAACAATTGATGTTGTTGGTGATGTTGAAGGATTGATTGGTGTTGTGGAATTTTGATGTGTGTAAGATCGATAGTTGAGTGTGATTTTCTTTGTGATGGGTTGTGGTGATTATGATGTGATCTTGTTGGGTTACCTTCATCGTCAATATGTAATTCATTGTCACTTCCATAGGCATCATCAGCTGGAGAGTTATTGTCATTACTATCGAAACTATCTGGACATGAATTTTCCTCGTCTTCAAATGCACCTTCTGAGTTTTCTTCATCAGAGTGTTTGTTACCATTGTTGTGGCTACCATGTTCTTTATCTTGTTGTTGACCATTTAACATTTCTTCGTGGCATAGTAGACGTGAAACCTTCATTCTTTTATTTCTGAAATCGAAAAATGAGCTGTTGTTATCATCATCATTTCCAATATTTCTTTTTTTATTATCATCACCATATATTGTATTGTTTGAAATTAAATCACCGATTGATGAGGTAGTTGAATATGAATATCTGTTGTTGCTATTTGAAGCCATATCTGGTATCATTCCAACAATGTTTTTAAATGTATTGATTTTATCTGTATTTTTTGAAATTGTTTCGAACCATTGTAATATAATTTCCATTCCTTTATCAAAACTTGATATGTTATTTTTTAAAATATATTTTTCTAAAATTGGTTGAAGTTTAGACCATGATTCATTATATTTTATATTACTATTATTATTTATTATATTTATATTATTGCTATTCATTTTTGAAGTTGATGTTGTAGTTGTTTGAGTTGTTTGTGATTCACTCATCTTTTCATTTTAAAAATAAATTATTATTATTATTTATTAATATTATAAAATTAAAATAAAAAATAAAAAATAAAATACAATTTAAAAAAAAACAAAAGTAAAAAATATAAAATTTAAAATATTATTATTATTATTATTGTTGTTGTTATAATTTTTGTGTTGGGGAAAAAAAAAAAATTTAAAAGAAAATAAATAATGAAAAAAGAGAGAAAAAAAAAAATATGGAATAGTTAAAAAAAAAAAAAAAAAAAAAAAAAAAAAAATTTTAAAATAAAAATAAATTAAATATAAAAAAAAAAGATCAACAGTTAGTTATATGAACATACATGGTAAGTGTTGGTTATTATTATTTAACACCCATTAAATAAAAAAATTTAAAAAAATTTAAATTTAATTAAATTAAAATTTAAATTCACAAAAATAAAAAACAATACCCCACCCACCACCACACACTGACACCATGTAAAAAGTTTTTATTATGACATACATATGTATTTCAAAAGTAAA